ATGGCCACGCTCCAGCTTTACTGGTGGAGGAATACCTCAGGTGCCCTTCCGTGCATTATTTCCGGCACAAACGGGTACCTGAGTAGAACCATGGTTGTTCTGTAAGCTAGCTGGATAGCTTCTTCACATGAAATAATTCAAATGGTCTTTCGGGATTTGATCTCACAACCGTGAGGGGCAAGTGGTTTGAAGTCAACAACCTTAACCCTTGGCCACTTATGCCCCAGTTCTAGTAACATCTTAATAATAACTTATAGATTAGTCTTGAACTAAAAGTATTTTTGGAGAAAAGAAGATGATTTGTTTTTGCAGGAGATGGCAAAAATTAAGACAGTAACTTCCTCAGGTCAAAGTCAGGCAGAGTATGAGCAAACCAAGTTAGGTGAGTAAATATTTGTTTTGATGGTGTACATACAAGTGTATGATATTACCATTAATATAAATAAAAACCAGCTGAATGTCATCGTTACCTTATCATTTTAGAAATTAAAATGATATAATTATTATATACTCCGGATCATACAATATCATTAAATTTATAATATTATTAAATTTATGAAATTACAATGTAACATTTGATTATATCCTACCATATAATGTGGTTGGTGCTATACTGGAATCACTTTGCGGCATCATTAGATCAGTCATTCCGTCTGTTTGTTTCCATCGGGTCAATATCCCCCTTGAAGGACAAATGCCAAACATCAAACTTATTTTTCTTTTCTCTATATATTATATACCCCCTGTGTGAGTTTCCTTAAATTTGCCTCAACAAGGCAGTATGCATAACCAATGTCTGTGTTTGGTTTTCTCAAGGTCAATGTCACCTATGCCTCTGCCGTGCTGGCTCACAGCTTCTTTGATTGTCAAAGGTCAAATATCAGACAGACAATCATGTACTCGCTCTATAAACTGTATAAATTTTCTTTAAATTGGCATAACTGTTTACTGCAACATGAAAAGCCATGCCACAGCTGTGTCAGTTGTAGGTCAAGTTAACCATTGAAGGTCAAATGTCATATATCAAACATTTTGTCTCTCTATAAATACTACACTTGTCAAGGATTTTCTTCAAACTTGACGCGGATCACCTGAATAAGGCAATGTGATGAACCAATGCCACTGCCTTACCAGCTCAAGGTAAAGGTCACTCTGGGTCTATTAATGTTTCTTTCACTTTTAAGATCTTGTCATGAGGGAATCTTGTTATGTTTAGATCATTTGTAAGTTTTGCTGATTTTATTGGCTGCTCAATAAATTTCAGGTTGTCGTACTCAATTGATAGAACATTATCGCAGTGACGTACTTAAAGTATCAGCAATACCTTTACAACCAGATGAGGAAAATTATAACTTCAGTGATGTTTATATAAGACCCACTATAACAAACAAGATAGAAAAGAACAGAGGGGAGTCTGAGGAAAAAGAAATAGAGTCCATGTCAGAGATTTTCACAAAGAACGGGGAACCACAGAAATTTATTTATGTTGTTGGAGATGCAGGGTCTGGTAAGAGTAGTTTCTGTAAATATTTGATCAACTGTTGGTGTATGGCACACAGTGATGGACACAATGAAGATGATGAGTTTGAAGGAGTCAAGGAAATGAAGAAATTTGATTTCATGTTTTATATTTCTCTTAGACATAACATAAAGATCCGAAGTATCCAAGAAATGCTTGAAATGCGATATGATAAGATAAAAAATTTAAGTAAACTTCTGGAAAATGATTCTGAAAAGATAATTATTTTGCTTGATGGTTTAGATGAATGGTCTTTTGACAGTGAGACTAGGAATGAGTTCCAGGCAGGCCTTCCGGAACGTGACTTTACAAAGAAATACACCATTGTTACTACATCACGGCCCTGGAAAATTCACAGTTTGAGAGTAAGTAATAGAGAGATTCATCAATTATTGAAATTAAAAGGGTTTGATGAAACACATGAAGAAGAAATGATTAAGAAAATAATAACAGCATTGAACAAATCATTAGATCCTAATGTGTGTGAACAAAAGCTTAATGTTCAGTCTCTGGTTGGCCTGAAACAGGTACCAATTATGCTGCAGCAATTGGTTTGTCTATGGTGTGATGGTAAACTTGATAAAACCTCAAGGTGTGCTATTTATACTGGTATGTTAGAACTTTATTTCACCTGGAATATCAATAAAACTTTAGGAAATAATACAGAATGTATGGAAAGTTCTCAGAATGTTGAACTCCCTCAGTATTTAACAGATGTAGAGATATGTAGATTAAATAGTCATCTTATATATGGTGTGTCGCACTTGGCTTATGAGACATTGTTCAATTATCCTAAGGATAAGTCCTTAACATTTGACAAATCTGTGTTTGATCATTTAAAAATATCACAAGATGTGCGACAAACATGTCTGAAACTGGGAATTTTGACAGAAGATAAATGTCCTTCTTTTTCTGTATCCAAACCTAAAAGCTCATTGTTCTCTTTCATTCACAAATCAATGCAAGAATTTCTGGCTGCAGTGAATATTGGTATAAATTTCAATGCAAAAATGTGTTCATCAGATAGTACAGGAAATGTTGAATTAGTCAAAAAGTTTATTTGTGAGGTTTTTCGGAATTGTTCAACAGTAAATGACATATTAGAGCAGTCAAATGTCATCATTATGCTATCTGGTCTAGAATCTAGATTAGCAACTCATGTTTCAAAATACATATATGATACTGCATCGAAAGACTCTTGTGTTCAGGAATACAGGAGAACAATAAGTAGTGACATTTATAGCGATCATGATTGTATTACTGATATTCAAAAGCTTATGTTTGAGTCAATGGAAGAATTCAATGCAGCATGTAGTATAGGTGGTAATACTGTATTTTATATAGGCGATTTGGTCATTTATCATAGTGATGTTGTTTGTTCAAGTATTGACCAGCATCAAATTGTTCCTGACTCTGTTCTGTCTATTAATGTAGTTTACATCAACACAAAAAATGTTAAATTTACAAAATATTTACCAAAGTTTCATCATCTTGAAAAAATTGCAATAAGATATGAATCTGAATCTCAATGGTTATTTAGTACACAAAGTGATAGTACACAGAGTAATGAAAGGAGGATTGATGAAATAAACAATTGTGTTTCTGAGACAATTAAAGTAAATACTTCAACATTAAAATCTCTGTCTCTTGATGTCTATTACAATGACAAGTATTACCCAGTGTGTAAAACAGTTGTTAGTAACCTACCTAGTATGATCGATCTTGTAGCAATAAGAATGAGTGGTATAACAATGAGTCATGGTGATACTACTACATTTTGTAATTTTCTTGAGGGAACCAGTCATCTTGAACAAATACATCTTGTTCATGTTGAATGTGAGTGTATGAAGCAGCATGATGTAAATTTATCAAAACATCAACAACTTCAGTACCTTTATTTGGATAATACTGTAAGTGTGATAGATGCTGATACTACAAAAATTGAAATATTTAATTTTGGAACTTTGAAAAATAGTAATTATGAGAAAATATTTGATATTATTAGAAAATCTTACAAATTAAAAGAACTTGAATTGTATGCAGATGATAACAATAAATCTCAATCATATCATACCAACATAACAAAGAGACTAGTCACAGTATTACCATTGTTACACAATCTCAGTGAGCTTGAGTTACAGTGTTGTAGGTTAACTGACAATATAATACAGTTACCTTTAGAGATGAAGAGTTTAAAGAACATTAAGCTGGATCGTGAAATAATGAGTTTGACAACATGGCAGAAGTTTGTTGATAGTCTTCCTCACATTCCTCATACTGTAGATGTGGATGTAAGGTTCTGTAATATAACAGGAGATGGTGAGGAGATTAATGATGATATGTTAACATTGGTATCACAAGGACGTAGAAGAGAGAAGGGAAATGATGCTATACAGTATTTAAGAGATCAGGAGCACTTATTTCATGTTAAAGGTAAATATGATTCTAGCTCGACTTTTTTTAAAAAAAATAAAAAAAGGGGTATTGTTACAGCCATGGCTTGTTGCCATTGCCGTCCGCAAACTGTAACCTTGATCATTATTTTTAGCTCGACTATTCAGAGAATATGGAGAGCTATTGCAGTGGCCCCGGCGTCGGCGTTGGTGAAAGTTTTTGTAAAGTTTTTCCTTATATGTATATAAAATTTTTTAGATTGCCTGTCACAAAGTGACATGGTGATCGTTTTAGATCACTTTCCGTCCCTCTGTCGTCCGTCCGTAAACTTTTATTTTACACGACATCTCCTCATCAACAGCTAGGCCAATGTCATCCAAACGTCACAGAAATGGTCCTTTGGTGGTTACCTTTATAAATTGTTCAAAGAATTTAATTTCATGCAGAACTCTGGTTGCCATGGCAACCAAAAGAAAAATAGCTTTAAATATCTTCTTTTATAAAGCCCAAAGAGGTATAACTTAGATATTTGGCACGAAACATCTTCTAGTGAGTGTCTATCAAGTTTATTCAAATAAAAGCCCTTGGGTTAAAATTGGCCCCGCCACAGGGGGTCTATGTAAATAGTAAAAACTTAAAATTCTTCTTTTAAAAAACTGAAAGAGCTAAAGCTTAAATATTTGGCATAAAACATTGGCCCGCCACAGGGGGTCATTGCTTTTTCTTATATGTATATAGTAAAACCTTAAAAGATCTTCTTTTAAAGATCTTCTTTTAAAAAAAAAACTGAAAGAGCTAGAGCTTAAATATTTGGCATGAAACATTGTCTAATAAGTGTCTACCAAGTTTGTTCAAATAAAGGCCCTGGGGTCAAACTTGGCCCCGCCCCAGGGTGTTATTAATTTTCCTTATATGTATATAGTAAAAACTTAAAAAACTTCTTTTATAATACCGAAAGAGCTAGAGCTTAAATATTTGGCATGAAACATCTTCTAGTGAGTGTCCAACAAGTTGGTTCAAATAAAATTCCTGGGATCAAAATTAGCCCCACCCAGGGTGGTCATTGATTTTTCTTATATGTATATAGTAAAAACTTCAGATATCTTCTTTAAAAAGCCCAAAGAGTAAGAGCTTAGATATTAAGCATGAAACATTTTCTCGTGAGTGTCCATCAAGTTTGTTCAAATAAAAGCCCTGGGATCGAAATTGACCCCGCCCCAGGGGTAACAGATTTTCCTTATATGTCTATAGTAAAAACTTTTAAAAATCTTCGTTTAAATAACCCATAGAGCTAGAGCTTAGATATTAAACATGAAACATCTTCTAGTGAGTGTCTACCAAATTTGTTCAAATAAAAGTCCAAGGGTTAAATTGGCCCTCCCCGGGGTTCTGATTTTCCTTATATGTCTATAGTAAAAACTTAAAATATCTTCTTTTAAAAACCCAAAGAGCTAGAGCTTATTCATCATGAAACATCTTCTAATGGGTGCCTACCAAGTTCGTTAAAATAAAGCCCCTGGGTAAAAATTAGCCTGCGCAAGGGCCTATAAACAGATGAGTGACTTCGGGCCATCATTGTCTTCTTGTTTAACAGATATTCTTGTCGAAAAGAACAAGGCTTAGAGCTTAGATATTTGGTATGTAGTATCACCTATAGTTCCTTTACCAAAGTTGTTCAAGTTATAGCCCTAGGTCAAAATTGGCCCCTCCCCAGGGGATCATAGGTTTTCATAATATGTATATAATTAAAACTTAAAAAATCGTCTTGTTTGAAGGTACAAGTCTTAGAGCTTAGATATTTGGTATATAATATCGTCTATCACCAGGGGGTCAATGTTATATAGAAAAAAACTTTAAAATTCTCTTCTCTGAATTGGCAAAGGCTAGAGGTTAGATATTTGGCATGAGGCATTGTGTAGTGGAACTCTACCAAGATTGTTCAAATTATAGCCCTATGTGAAAATTGAATTTAAGACCTAATAACTTCACTTTTGTATATCAATTGCATTTAGTACTCAGATGGGTGCGTTGGGGCCAATGGTCCCTTGTTCACTTAGTCTGTTGGTTAATGTTTACATGTAAGTTTTACATATCTCTGTCAAAAGGTAGACCTGCATTCAATTCCTGTCCTTTCCATTACTCCAATGCCATTATTTTAATAACTGTTCTAATTGTCGAGCATGCTGTCATCGGTCATCTCTGATTTACTTATTTCCAAATTTATGCCCCTCTTATACTCAATGAAAATTATTGTGAACTTTTGGCTTGTAAGCTGGTATCTCCCTTTACTACTGAAGGGAATAGAATGAAACTCAACATACATTTTCACTCTGATTTTTAACATGATTGGCACAGGTCCCACAACTCTGATTTACTTATTTACATATTTATGTCCCTTTTTATACTCAATGAAACATCCTTGTGACAACTCTATCGAACAGTCGAGCATTGCTGTCCTACGACAGCTCTTGTTATGCACCCCAAAGTATTTAGTAGATGCTTGTCCGTCTGTCACAAAACTTGTGCAGACTACTCCTCAGAAACTACTGGTGCAATTTTATTCAAACTTTGCAGGAATGATCAGTACCAAGTCTTGTTGTGCATATCATCAGCATTTTCTAGTTCAATGCTTTTTGTCTTAGTTTTTGCCCTTTAATAATTTTTTGATAGTTTGTCTGGATTTCTTCTCTTAAACCACAATTCAATTTCAATGAACCTTTAAAGGATTGATCTTTAGCTCAAGTTCTTGTGTTTATTGCACCGGTTTTCTGGTAGAATGATTTTTGGAAGAGTTCTGACTCTTGAATAAAAAGGTTGATTTTTTTGTGTGTTGCCACAAAAGCTTGTCTGGCAGTGGACTACTTCTCAAAAAATACTGGTGCAATTTCATCCAAACTTTACAAGAACGATCAGTACCAATTCTAGTTGTGCATGACGGTCTGTCCATCTGTAGATTACATGGTTTCCACTGACTATCTTGAAAATCTATATATCTCAAAGTCTTCATATTTCACATACTGATTGGCCATAATTAAAAGTTGACCCCTATTGATTATGGTGTCACTAGGTCCACGGTCAAGGTCACAGTTGCCTTAAATATCAGAATGTTTTTTACTGATTTTCTAGAAAACTATTCTTTTAAAAGTCTTCACGTTTCACATACTAATTGTTCATAACTTGCAGATGACCACTTTTGTTTTAAGTGTCACAAGTTCAAAGGTCAAGGTCACAGGGGCCTTAAATGTCAGAATGTTTTCCGCTCATCTTAAAAACTGTTTATCACAAAGTCTTCATATTTCACATATTGATTGGCCATAACTTAAGTAGATAACCTCTTTTGACTTTGGAGTCACTAGGTCAAAAGCCTTTAATGTCAGAATAGTTTTTACATTTATGTGATACTATATATTTTACCTTCCAACTTGTATAACTTATTAATGATAGCTTTCATTCCTTTTTAGCTAAATTTTTTTTTTGAAAAAAAAGTACAGGTATTGCTATAGTCGCGGCGGTGTTGCCGTTCCTGTTCCCGTCCGCAAACTTGTAACTGGATCATAACTTTTATATTTATTGGTGTATTGTCTTCATACTTGGCCACAACAACCCTTGGGACAAGACCTTTCAGTAGACCTCACTAACCTTGACCTTCATCCATAAATGACCTTGACCTTCGAGGTTAAAAGTCCAAATTTTGCTTGTTCATGCTGTTATTGGCTGTAACTTTGTTATTTTTGAATGGATTGTCTTCAAACTTGAACATAATAATCTTCAAGGATAACCCTTAAAAATAACCCGACAGACCTTGACCTTCACCCATAAATGACCTTGACTTTGAAGGTCAAATTATTGAACTTTTCATTGTTTTTGCTGTACCTGGCTGTAACTTTGCTATTATTGAAGGGATCAACTTCATATTATAACAGAACATACTTAAGGACAAGACCTTGTTGTTTATCAAACACTTGGGCTCTCTAATGACCACGTGACTCCACCACGTGACTTCACCACGTGACTACCACCTTACTCCACCACATGACTCTACCACATGACACCACCACGTGACTGTACTACGTGACTCAACCACGTGACACCATCACATGACTTCACTACATGACTCTACCACGTGACACCACCACATGACTCCACCACGTGACTCCATCATGTAACTCCGCCACATGACTACCACGTGACTCTTCCACGTGACACCACCATATGACTCCACCACGTGACTTTACCATGTGACACCACCACATGACTTTACCATGTGACACCACCACATGACACCACCAAATGACTACCACGTGACTCCACCACATGACTTCACCAGGTGACTTTACCACGTGACACTACAATGTGACAACACCACGTGACTTTACCTCGTGACTCAACCACGTGACTCCACCACATGACTCTACCACGTGACACCATTCCACCACGTTACTCCATCACGTGACTTTACCACATAACTCCACCACATGACTCTACCTCATGACTCAACCTCATGACTCAACCACATGACTCCACCACATGACTCTACCACGTGACACCATTCCACCACATGACTCCACCACATAACTCCACCACATGACTCTACCACGTGACTCCACCACGTGACTCTACCATGTGATAGCACCAGATGACACCACGTGCCACCACCACAAGACACCACAACATGACTCCACCACGTGACTCCTACACGTGCCACAACCACGTGACTTTACCAAGTGACACCACCACGTGACTCAACCAGGTGACTCCACCACGTGACACCTCCACAAGACACCACCAAGTGACTCCACCATGTGACACCACATGACTCCACTACGTGACACCACCACAAGACACAACCATGTGTCATTTGCGTGACACCACCACGTGTCACCACGTGACTCCCCACGTGTATCTATTTATAGAATTTTCTATTTATAGAATTGCGTGTTTCTATTTATAGAATTGCATTTTTCTTTTTATAGAATTTTCTTTTTTATAGAATTGCGTATTTCAGACCAATTAATTTTATTTAAAGGAAACGTTCAGATTTAGTTCAAACATTTCTTTGTTTGCTTTTAGAGAAAGAAAGAAGTCGACCGTTGCCCCCGCCCGGCGGTGGCTCTTGTCAGGTCATATATTGGTCTTTTTTCTCTTTCCCAAAATGTACCAGTTTGTAGCATGTTTCTATAACAAAATTACCAATAGTATGAGCCAAGGGCTGGAAAGAGGGGCATGTGTGTTGTTCGACATTTCTTGTTATTTTTAGCTCACCTGTCACAAAGTGACAGGGTGAGCTTTTGTGATCGCTTTTTGTCCGGTGTCTGTCGGTCCGTAAACTTTTACTTTAAATGACATCTCCTCATAAACCACTAAGCCAATTTCATCCAAACTTCACAGGAATGTTCCTTTGGTGGTCACCTTTAATAATTGTTCAAATAATTTAATTCCATGCAGAACTCTGGTTGCCATGGCAACCGAAAGAAAAAACTTTAAATACCTTCTTTTAAAAAAACCCAAAGAGCTAGAGCTTCGATATTTGGCATGAAACATCTTCTAGTGAGTGTCTACCAAGTTTGTTCAAATATAAGCCCTTGGGTCAAAATTGGCCCCGCCCCAAGGGGTCATTGATTTTCCCTATATGCATATAGTAAAAATTTAAATAATCTTTTTTAAAGAACCCAAAGAACTAGAGCTGAGATATTTAGCATGAAACATCTTCTAATGAGTGTCTACCAAGTTTGTTCAAATAAAAGCCCTGGGGTCAAAATTGGCCCCGCCCCAGGGGGTCATTGATTTTCCCTATATGCATAATAGTAAAAACTTAAAAAATCTTTTTTAAAGAACTCAAAGAGCTAGAGCTAAGATATTTAGCATGAAACATGTTTTAATGGGTGTCTACCAAGTTTGTTCAAATAAAAGCCCTGGGGTCAAAATTGACCCCGCCCCGGGGGTCATTGATTTTCCTTATATGTGTATAGCAAAAACTTCAAAAATCTTCTATGAAAAAACCCAAATAGCTAGAGTTTAGATATTAAGCATGAAACATCTTCTAGTGAGTGTCTACAAAGTTTGTTCAAATAAAAGCCCTGGGGTCAAAATTGACCCCGCCCAGGGTGTCATTGATTTTAGATATATTTGTATAGTTAAAACATAAAATATCTTCTTTTAAAAAACCCAATGAGCTAGAGCTTAGATATTTAGCATGAAACATCTTCTTATGGGTGTCTACCAAGTTTGTTCAAATAAAACCCTTGGGTTAAAATTGGACCTGCCGGAGGGGGGGGGGTCATTGTTTTTCATTATATGTGTGTAGTAAAAACTAAACAACATGAAACATCTTCTAATGGGTGTCTTCCAAAATTGTTCAAATAAAAGCCCTAGGGTTTAAGCTGGCCCTGCTGCGGGGCCACTATACAGGTGAGCGACCTCACGGCAATCATGCCCCTCTTGTTAAAGTTTGTCAGAACAACTCTTATACCTTTAATTCAATATCAATGACACATAACAGGATTGAATGGTGGGTCAAGTACATTTGCATACTACACAAGTTTTCCGCTCAAACATTTTATGCTCCCGAAGGGCAGCATATACTAATCACTCTGTCCTTCCATCCCTATGTCCGGTAATCTTGTCCGCTATTCATCTCCAAAACTGCCAGGGGAAATTCAGTGAAACTTCACAGTAGTGATTAGTACCATCTTTAGTTGTGCATATCGCCAGCACGATCCTGTCAGTTGCACAAAAAGGCCGCTATAAATAGAAAAATATTTTCCACGCTTCATCACCAAAATCGCTTGGGGGAATTCAGTGAAACTTCACAGGAGTGATCAGTATCAATTCTCTACTTGTGCATATCGCCTACACATTCCGGTTAGCTGCACAACATAGCTACCAAAGCTTTAAAAAGCAAAATATTGTCTGCGATTCATCTCAAAAACCACTGGGAAATTGCAGTGATATTTCACAGTAGTGATCAGAACCATCCCTAGTTGTGCAAATCGCCTGCACGTTCTGGTCAGTTGCACAAAATGGCCGTCAAAGCTATAAATAGAAAAATAGTTTCCAAGATTCATAGCCAAAACTGCTTTGGTGATTTCAGTGAAACTTCACATGAGTGATCAATAAAAAAATTCTACTGGTGCATAGCGCTGGCACATTCTGGTCAGCTGCACAAAATGGCAACCAAAGCGATAAATAGCAAAATATTGTCTGCAAATTTATCTCCAAAACCACAAGGGGAAACAGTGATATTTCACAGTAGTGATCATTACCATCCTAGTTGTGCATATCTTAAGCAAGTTCCACTCCGCTGCACAAACGGCTACCAGAGATATGAATGAAAAGTTTATTGCTGGTCAAATGCTAGTGGGATTTCAATAACACTTCACATAAGTGATCCATGCCATCCCTAGGTGTGCATATCGCCGGCCCATTCCGCTCAGCTGCTCAAAATGGCGGTCAGATCTATTAATAGTCACATTTTGTTTTAGTAACATTTGTTTAGACTACTCCTACACTTCTAATGGAATAGAAATTTTAGGAATGATAATGCAGTCAGATATACATGTATATTACCGGTATTTTGGCATATATTGGAGATTTTATGTAACGGCATTAGTCTTTTTTCTGTAATTAAAAAATTCACATTTATGGTCAATGGTAGGGAATTTTCGTAACAATTTTCTCAGCAACTACTTTATCACATCCTCTTGATATTTGGTATACAGCATTAACGCTTGGTTCCATACTGTGGGATTCAAATTCAGATCTGTCGCTCATTTACTTCCTGTTTACTGACATAGAAAAAATTTAAACAATTATGGTCAATGGTAGAATATTTTCGTAACATCACAGCTTCATGATATTTTGTATACAGTACCCTAAAGACCCAGAAAAGGATTGCTTTTTGACCTCTTTGGATCAAGGTCAAGGTTACTGGTACTAAAACAGGAAAATTGTTTCTAGACAATATTGTGATATAGTAATAGCCTCCTTATATGAAGACGCGTGCTGATTTTGCGTTTGTAACCCCTTGGTACAAGGTCAGGGTCACCGAAACTAAAGATAGAAAATGGTTTCCAGACAGTAACTAGAGTTTAGGAGTGAGATATTGCAATCAAACTGCATATTTAGCAAGCTTATATGAAAACAGGTTGGGGTTGGTATTAGACCCTAGGGAATTAAGGTCATGGTCACCTGATTTACTAAAAATAAAAAAATGGTTTCAGGACAATAACTAGTGTTGGGAATGAGATATTGCAATCAAACTGCATATTTAGCAAGCTTATATGAAAACAGGTAGGGGTTGCTATTAGACCCTGGGGAATTAAGGTCAAGGTCACCTGATTACTAAAAATCAAAAATGGTTTCAGGACAATGACAAGTGTTTGGAATGAGACATTGAATTAAATTTAATATATAGCAAGCTACTTAGAAGACCACTGGTGTGGTTGCTTGGACTCCCTCAGGTCAAGGTCACTGTCTATGAAAAAATAAAAATTGTTTTCAGACAATAACTTGAGTAAGCAATGATATATTGTAATCAAACTTGGTATAAATCATGCTTATTAGAAGACCCAGGTTGGTATTGGGGTTTTGACTCCTCCGGTTATGGTCAAAGACACCATTAACATAAGTACAAAAATGTTTTCGGGACTGTTACTACAGGACAGATACTAGAGATAGGAATGAAGTATTGTGATCAAACTTTGTATACAGCAAGCTGATAAGTTGACCCCAGTTGGGATTGCTTTGGACCCCATGTGCTCAAGGACGAGGTCACTGTAACTAGAAATAGAAAACAATGAGTAAATTGGTTTCTGGAAAATTGTAAAAATGTTTGACAAATGAAACATCATACATTATAGTTAAAGTTCAAATTTTGTTTCAGGCCAGACTTCAGACCTCTTTTCTTTCAAAAATGAGAAATCTTCTGAATGGGATAGATGCATCACAAGAGGAAGTGAGACAGCTGCAAAAAATTTAATTGATAGAGAAATGTTACCATCTCAAAGAGAGTTGCACAAGGCTTGTCGTGTATTTGGAGTAGATTCACACATACTTTCTAAAATGTGCTCTATGATTAGCAAACATATCAGAAAAAAATCAGAAAATGTAATTGATGTATTGCCATCCTATCAAAGTGATCATGTATTTTCCAGTAGCTATGTGTCTATTGTTTTTGTAGTAGTGGTTAAGAAAAATTCCAGATATTTGGTATCCAAAGATAATTATGAATGCTACATTAAGGGTGAAAATGACTACAGTTCTGAAGGAGAAATTGTAGCTGTTAAAGAAATGGAATCTGACATTCAATTTTCTGATGCCGTTCTGGAAAATATTAGAAAATGTGTAAACAAGAATGCTGATGATCTTCTTCAAAAACATAGTAATCTAAATGTGATTTTGCCAAGTTTGATGAAATCAGTAGGTTATACGTCAGGCAAACATGACATTAAGATTAAACCTTGCATAGCTCTCTATGTTTCAGTAAAGGGATATATACCTCTGAATGAGACACCATTTGAAAAGGAAATTGATGGATTCCAAACAGATGTTTTGGAGGGAGAATTTGAACCATTTATTGGAGGACCAAATCAATACCACGAACATCTTAAGATGGGTGTTGCAATACATGCCAATGTTTCGATCGGAGGTAAAATCTCAGGGGGGACTCTTGGAGGATTTATAAACCATTCAGTGCATGGATTATGTGGAATAACAAGTGCACATGTTGTATATGATAGTGCTGAATTAGCAAGGGTGAAAAATGCTAAAGAATTAAGTTTAATAAAGACGGTTTATCAGCCTATAAATGAATGCATGTCAGCGTTTGGTGAAGTTGTTCTGGCTATTTACAATGAAGGAAGTGAGTCTGAATCTGGAATGGAAGTTGCTCTTATACGCATAAAAGATAGGCAACCGAAGGATGGAAGTTTTCCTGAAGCATTCAATAATTTGGAAGCAGGTGAGCATATTTGTAATTATCCCAGGAAAATGAATCAGATTTTCTTTTATTAAAATGACAATTCTGGTCTCTTATTCCTTCCTGATGTATATCTTAAAATCTGCTTGGCAAATTCTTCGTAAAACAAACAAATGAGAATTGCTTATAGGCAATAGAGGTGTGTTTTTGTCCCACTTATTTTTACCGAACATACGTTAATATGTCCTGCTAACCATATATCAATCAGTTTGTAATAAGTGTCACATCACATGAGTATAACTGACACTTTCTAGGAAAAGTTAATTGTCAGCACCTGATTAATTTGAGGAAAGGAGGACAACAGTTATGGCCCCTAATCAAGGAAACATACTTATATTATAAAGAATGTTATCTGAGCTAGAGTCAGTTAAGTATAAAATACTATGCTCTAATTTGATTTTAGAAAATATTGATAATTGCTACACAGTCTCTTTGTAAATTTAAAAAACCTGATTTGAGTTCACACAAAGTAGAAACCGGTATGTTATGTTTACACTCTATAGATGGTAACAATAATGATGAATTTGTATAGTGTCTTTAAAAAAAAACTAGCAGTTTTTCTTAATATTATTTTAAGAAAAGACCAATTTTACATGAGGTCTTTAATGGGGAACCCACATTCCCATACATTTTTTTAATTCAAATTAGACATATTCAGTAAGAATTTCATGTATTACAATTAATACCTTTGATTAAAATATTTATATTTCCAACAAACAAAGTTTAAGGGTGTATACAAGACTCGGCTGGTGGTCGGGCACTAAGTTTTTTTGCAGATTTCTTGTCCAGGACATAACTCAGAATGTACATAAGATATTATCAACTTCAAATATTGTAGGTAGATAGATCTCATTTATTAAAATTGCAAAAGAACCGTAATTATGCCTTGCCTTTTTAGCTCATCTGACCTGACCACGAAGTGGTCAAGTTGAGGTATAGTGATGGGGCTCTGTCCGTCGTCCTGCGTCGTTTGTCGTCAACAATTAGGTTGTTAACAGTCTAGCAGTCACAGTTTTTATTGGATCATCATCAAACTTTGTCAGAATGTCTGGTTCAATAAAATACAGATCAAGTTTGAAGATGGGTTATCTCGGGTCAAAAACTAGGTCACAGGAGCTATAAATAGAAAAGGCTTGTTAACAGTCTTGTGGCTGCAGTTTTGATCCAAATATTCTGGGAATCAGTCTGGAAGGTTCTTTTGATGATTTCTACGTCAATTTTGAATATGGGTCATCTCCTGTCAAAAACTAGATCACAGGGGCTAAAAATAGGAAAAGCTTGTTAACACTCAAGTGACTGCAGTTTTGATCCAAATACTTGCATTCTTGAATTTTGTCAAGAAGGTTTTTTGATGATTTCTAGGTCAAGTTCGAATATGGGTCATCTCCGGTCAACATCTAGGTCACAGGAGCTAAAATATAAAAGTTTGTTAACACTATAGTGGCTGCAGTTTTGATCCAGATTTCCTATTGGTTGTCTCTGGTCATAAAATAGGTCAAAAATAGAGCTAAAAATAGAAAAATCTTGTTAACATTCTAGTGGTTGCAGTTTTGATTAAAATATTCTAGAAATTTGTCAAGTAGGTTCTATGCCAAGTTCGAAGAAGGGTCATATCCGATCAAAAACTTGGTCACAGGAGCTAAAAATTGAAAAAGCTTGTTAACACTAGTAGTTGAATTTTTGGTCCAAATTTCCTGGAAATCTTTCTGTGTCAGAAAGGTTGTTTTGAAAATTTCTAGGTGAAGTTCGAATAAAGGTCATCTCCGGTCAAGACTAGGTCACAGGAGCTAAAAATAGAAAAAAACTTGTTAACAATCTAGTGGCTGCAGTTTTGATTTAAATATTCTGGAAATTTGTCATGAAGGTTGTTTTGATGGTTTCTAGATCAAATTCAAAGATGGGTCATCTCCGGTCAAAAACTAGGTCACATGAGCTTAAAGAAGAAAAATGTTGTTAACAGTCTAGTGACTGCAATTTGATCCAAATATTCTGGAAATCAGTTTAAAAGGTTCTTTGGATGATTTCTAGGTCAAGTTTGAATATGGGTCATTTCAGGTCAAAAACTAGGTCATATGAGCTTAAAATAGAAAAATGTTGTTAACAGTCTAGTGACTGCAATTTGATGCAAATATTCTGGAAATCAGTTTAAAAGGTTCTTTTGATGATTTCTAGTTCAAGTTTGAATATGGGTCATTTCAGGTCAAAAACTAGGTCACAGGAGCTTAAATTAGAAAAAGCTTCTTAACACTTTAGTGGCTGCAGTTTTGATCCAAATATTCTGGATATTTGTCATGAAGGTTGTTTGGATGATTTCTAGGTCAAGTTCGAAGATGGGTCATCTCTGGTCAAAAACTAGGGCACAGGAGCTAAAATATAAAATCTTGTTAACACTGTAGTGGCTGCAGTTTTCATCCAGATTTCCTATGGGTTGTCTCTGGTCGAAAAATAGGTCACACTGCCTAAATATGGAAAAACCTTTTTAACACACTAGAGGTTACTTTTTTGACTCGATTCTCATCCAACTTTGCCAGGAAGCTTGTCTAAGACATTGCTTGGATTCGGTTGATGGGTCAGGGGAACGATCTAGGGTCATTATGGCCCTCTTGTTTAGATTTAAAGCCCTTTGTTTATTTTACACTTCGAACTTTGTCAGCGACATAACATCAAATGTAAAGAAGATATCACACTCAAGTTTTATATGTAGATTGATCTCATTGAGTAGTAGTGCAGTGAGTAAGAAGTGCAGTGTAAAAGAACCGTAACTCTGCCTTGTTTATTTTTAGTTTACCTCAGCACTTTTGTGATAACAATTTGTCCGACGTCCATCAGGGCGACTGTGGGTCAGTACGTCCGTCGTCATTTTTTTTATATAAACAACTTTTTCTCAGAAACCACTGAAATGTGATGAAATTTTGCAGGAATGTTCCTAGCATGACGCTCTTCTAAAAATATTCAAATGATTCTGCAAGGTGTATTAAGAAATTGTGTTTGTAGATAGATCTCAAATGAAAGAAGTGCAGTGCAAAAGAACGCTAACTCTGCCTTGCCAACTCTTAAATGACAAGGTGTATTGAAAAGAAACTTTGGAGGTATATGGATCTCATTGGGTAGAAGTGCCGTGCAAAATAACCATATCTTTGAATAACCTTATTTTCTGTAAAATGACATTGGGTATTAACAAGAAATTTTGGAGGTATATGGATCTCATTGGGTAGAAGTGCAGTGCAAAGGAACCATATCTTTAAATTACCAAATTTTGGAGTCATAGCCCTTTGTTTAGTTTACACTTTGAACTTTGTCCGTGACATAACTGTCAAACCACAAGGGGTATTGACAAGAAACTTTGGAGTTAGACAGATCTCATTAAGGAGAGGTGCAGTGCAGGGGAAAAATAACCCTGCCTTGTCTTATTTTGGATTTATTGTCTTTAATGTGCAGTGAATAAAAACTGAAACACCCTCTTCTCAAATTTTGAAGTTATTACCCTTTGTTCATATTACAATTTGAATTTTGTCCTGGACATAATTTGAGAACTATAAATAATATCAACTTGAAACTTGGTAGGTTGATAGATCTCACTGCGTAGAAGTACAGTGCGGAAGAACAGTTACCTGCCCTACCGTTACTTTTGTGTTATTGCCCTTTGTTCATTATTATGCCCCCCTTCGAAGAAGAGGGGGTACAGTACAGCTTTAAAAAAATTTCCAAATTCTGCTGATCCCGGCGATTTTTTTACGGGTGGATTGTCACTGCGACATCCCTGTGATAGTTGTGACTTTCCGCTCATCACCCGATTGGGTGAAATTCTCGCTGAGGGATATCATCACCGTTGATCACAGTGAAATATTGCAGGGACATTTCGCTCTCTCGAGTGACCATTAATTGATTTATTGCACGTATTTACTTGTGTCTGTTAAAATAATACATAAGATTTGTCTCCTACAATTATTGAATAGCGGATATTTGCACACCTGTTTTAAATGTTATAATATTTAATTGTTAGTTACCGAAATTCATCGCTGACTGTTGAAATTCCATAGCACTAAAAGAAACAACAACACTCGCGCAAAAGTAGCATCCATGAATTAATTAAATATCATGTTTCCATATTTACACAAAATTTACACAATCATGGGATGAACTCTGACAAATGACTAGGCGGCTCTTGAAAAGAATATATCAATCTTTGATGTTAAGTTGTTGCCTTAAATCAGCACTTAATCGACTTCCACCCTTCTTTATATATCAAAAAAAAATATTGTCATTTATTTTAGTGAAGAAACTATTACACCTTTTTAACCAGGTTTTCCGAAGGAAAAATCTGGTTATTAGATTGAGGTATGTCGGCGGGCAGGCGGATGGGCGGACGGGCGGGTGTAAACAATTTCTTCTGTGCGCATCTCCTCCTACATTTCTCAATGGATTTTGACCAAACTTTCACAGAAGCTTTGTCATCAAGTGCCCTGGTGCATATTGTTGGGGTTTTGTGATTGGATAATATTTGACCTAATTATGGCCCTTTGTTTTTTTCACTTATATAGAATATAAAGTGAACAATTTCTTTTGTGCGCAAGTTCTCCTACTTTTCTCAAAGTATTTTGTTAAAACTTTCACAGAAGCTTTGTCATCAAGTGTCCTGATGCATACTGTTGGGGTTTTGTGATTGCATAATTTTTTACCTAATTATGGCCTTTTGTTTTCTTTCCTTATACAGAATATATAGTGAACAATTTCTTCTGTGCGCAACTCATCCTACATTTCTCAAGGGATTTTGTTCAAACTTTCACAGAAGCTTTGTCATCTAGTGGCCTGATGCATATTGTAGGGTTTTGTGATTGGATAATTTTTGACTTTATTATGGCCCTTTGTTTTTTTTTCCCTTATATAAATTATATAGTGAACAATTTCTTCTGTTGCCCAAATGCTTCTACATTTCTCAAAGGATTTTGTTCAAATTTTCATAGATTAGCTTTATCTTCAAGTGCCCTGATGTGTATTTTCAGGGTTTATGATTGGATATGTTTTTACCTTTTACCTTATTATGGCCCTTTGTTTTTCCATACAATTTAATTATTAGTGTTATATATCCTATTAATCACAACAAACTTTATTTAGTTATAAAACAGAAACTATCTATGTTGTTGCATGCCTGCCAGCTCATCTGCCTGCTTTTTGGTCCTGTAGAGTCAAGGTCATTGTTGCTAAAAATAGAAAATCTGTTTCCAGTCAGGTCACTGTTACTAAAAATAGAACATAGGTTTCCGGTCAATTTTATGAAATGTGTGTTAAAGCAAGTTTTTATGAAGACCTCAATTGGGATGGCTTTTTGGCCTCCTAGGGTCAAGGTTACAGTAGCTAAAAATAGAAATTCAGTATTCATAATTAACATTGCACATAGTTACATTGTTTGTTGCTTGTATTTGTATTTCAACAACATATTTATCTACAATGGTGATAATTGAAAACCTGGTTTGGTGGCATTGCCATGTTTCTTGATAATTATTGCTCAAAAGTAAATAAAAAATGTTGGATATTTATCGTGTCAATTATTGAAATATTATTAATCGTAAGTGCATTTTCATTGTGATAATATTATTTACATTTTTTACGCTAAATGGGATCTTCTAAATCTACCGTTTTATAATTACATTTAAACATAATGTAAAATAAACTTTAGATAAGTGTTTACTTTATATTTTTATTGTCCATGAGAATACTTCAATTGTCCCATAACAAGTTGAACATATGTATAATGATTATTTATCACGCGATATCTCTCTGGTGATTTTCCACTGGGGATTGTAGGGATTTTTAAACCAGTCCGCAGTGATTTTCCACTGTGACTGATCACTCGCCGTTAAAAGTGTCTGCGGTTTCAAAGATTGCTTCAGCTGTACTATATATTGTTTTGCTAATGTTGGTCTGTCCGTCGGTAGAGCCCATAGTTTCCGCTGATTATCTTGAAAACTATTTATCACAAAGTCTTTAAATTTCAAAAAGTGATTGGTCATAACTATTAGAGACCCCTATTGATATTGGGGTAACTAGGTCAATGGTGAAGGTCAAAGGGCCTTAAATGTCAAAATGGTTTCTGCTGATTATCTTGAAATGTATTGGTCACAAAGTCATCATATTTCATGTAGTGATTGGTCATAACTAGTAGATGACCCCTATTGATTTTTGGTCACTAACTAACATGTCAAGGTCACAGGGGCCTTAGTGTCAGAATGGTTTCCGCTGATTATCTCTAAAAGTATTCATCTCACAAAGTCTTTTTTTTCACTGCTGATGACTAGTAGATGACCCTATTGATTTTGGGTCATTAGGTTAAAGGTCAAGTTCTCAGGGGCCTCAAATGTCAATGGTTTACGCTCATTATCTTGTTTACAATTAATTGCAGAATCATTATATATCACATATTGATTGGTCATAACTAGTAGATGACCCAAATTGATTTTGGGGTCACTAGGTCAAAGACGCCTTGAATAGTAATATGATTTACGCTTATTATCTTGGTTACTCTTTATTAAAAAGTTTTCATATTTCACACATTGATTGGTCATAACTAATAGATGAACCCTATAAATTTTGGGGTCACTAGGTCAAAGGTTAAGGTCACAGGGGCCTTGAATGGTTATATGATTTCCGTTTATTATCATGGTTACTATTTATCACAGTCTTCATACTTCACATATAGATTGGTCATAACTAGTAGATGACCCCTAATGATTTAAGGGTCACTAGATCAAAGGTCAAGGTCACAGGGGCCTTAAATATCTGAATGATTTCCGTTGATTTATCATGAAAATTGTTCATCACAAAGTCTTAATATTTCACATATTAATTGGTCATAACTAGTAGATGACGACTATTGATTTTGGGGTCACCAGGTCAAAGGTCAAAGGTTCTTTGAATGGTAGAGGATTTCAGCTCATTATCTTGAAAGACAATTATCACAAAGTATTCATATTTCACATATGATCGGTCAGTCTAACCAACAGATGATCCGTGTTGCTTTGGGTCACTAGATCACAGGGACCTTTTGGTTTGTCTAGTAGATCACTGCCAAGTTTGTTAAAATCATCCATGTTTGTTTGTTAACACTCTAGTGGTAACATTTTTGCCTCAATCTTCATCAAACTTTGTCAGGATGTTTGTCTAGGTAATTGCTCGGATGACGACGAACATGGGTCATCTCAGATGAAGGACTAGGTAACGGGAGCTAAAAATAGAAAAATCTTTTTAACACTTGTGGCTACAGTTTTGATCCAAATATCCTGTAAATTGGTCCGAAAGTTTGTTTTGATGATCTCTAGGTCAAGTTTGAATATGGGTCACCTAGGGTCAAAACGAAGTCACACTTTATCCAGCACATGTGAAGTTAAAGCATAAAGCAATCTAAGTTCCATTTCCCATATAGCATGGAAGTAAAGTCCCTGGTTTTTCAGTCTTCATTACAAATTTCCAATCAAATTCCAGCCAATTCCATCCATGCTGGAAATGGATTGACCAAAAAAGTCTATATAAAATGGCCGAAAAAAATGACCCATTCTCCATGTTTCATCATAGTTTTCCAGGATTTACCAGTCTGAGTCTTTCAGGCTTATCCTGGAAAATCTACACCCGGGTGCTGTTTCACATAATATGCATTGTAAAGGGAAGTCTTACTGCGAAGATAAAACTGTTTTTCAAAACTATCTAGTAGATTTTGTACACATGCTACATTGATGATAGTTAGGTATCTGCCTACAAAAGTTTCAGTCCAATACACAAGTAAGACACAGAAGCTAAAGATAAACTTGACAATTAAACTACACCCAGAGAAACTTGACTGCATTCAAATTTTTTGCATAAGGCTATTTCTATAGAATGCCTAGCATATTTAAACATATTTTATAACTCATGTATTAAGGAAAAAGAAGATAGTCGAATTGATGCGATTGAATACATTTATTACTTTCCTGGCAACTGATCAAGGTGCGAGATCACTTCATCATTGGCCATCATTTTTGTTTTATTTTCAGGGTTTGACTCAAGCAATCAATTGTGCTTTAACTCTGGTGAAGTGCGTGAAATATCAAACCTAAAGCGAAGGACTGAGGTTTACAAATTTGGCATGAGCTCCGGGATAACAAGAGGAAGTTTTGCATTGTACGGAGGAATAGTACGTAAAGATATGTTAGGACAATGTAATGGTTTTGGATATAATCTAAAAAAATCAAATGAAAATTATTCAAATTGGAGAGAACCCCTTTTGCAGAACAAGGAGATTCTGGTGCATTAGTTTTGATAGAAGGAACACATGATTCAGCTGCTATTGGCATTGTGGAAGGTGGTATGAAGGGTTGTGTGTTTGTCACCCCGATTTGTGATATTTTAAGAGCTGTCGGTTGTACGGATGGGAAAATGTGCCAATTTACCTCGGGATGTAATGCAGTTTTGACTGATTCAGGAGTTGAAATGGATGTCTCTTAAATACTTAAACAGACATGAAAAAAGAAAATGCACTAAAATTGTAATGAAATTTTATAATATATTGAGTGATATGCCCTGCTCAAGGGGAGGTGGGTATTTAAATTTGCCATTGTACATCTCCCTGTCAGAGCGTTCTTGCATTCCCATGTTATGTCACATAAAGCTCTAAAAGTGGTTGAGCTAGAGTAAATAAACTTAAATGGAATGTTGATCAGCATGTAAGGTTGTGCACCTGGGATTTTTTGTGTGAATTATTTAACTTTTGTCTGAGTTATTGCTCATTGACTTAGTAAATTATTTGCGATTGTCAGTTTGTGCCCCGCGTAGCTCAAAACATGTTTCACCTAAGTTAAGAAACTGTATAGGAATGTCGGTCAGCATAATATGTAGTTGTGCACATGTGGATTAGATTGTGAATTTATTCAGTACTTGCAATTTCCAACTTGTGTGTCACATAGCCCAAACAGTTATACTTGTACATTTATTTACTATTCATAAAGTTATTGCACTTAGCTATGTAAAAATTAGCTGTCATAGGTAAATTTGCTGGCGGGACAAATAAACCTTCTAGTTTACTTTTGGATTTGCTAGTGGATTATTTCAGTATATGTTACAATACTGTAAGAAGTTACAATTCTTGATTATTGAAAGATATTTTTATTTTCTCTAAAGCATACTTACGGATATGATTTTAGCTTGACGATAGGAAGTATATGGAGATCTGTGCTTCTAGCTCCGGAGTTGGTGTCCACGTCCAGAATTCAGATTAAAGTTTTGGTTAGCAAAGTATTTTCCACTACAACTTTTTCATTTCTCAAGGTATCAACTTCAAACTTCAAATATATGTTCCTTTTTATAAACTACATCTTATGTGACAAAGTTCATAACTCTAGCACTAATATTTCCAGATTTATGTCCTCTTGAACTTGGAATTTTCCTCTTTTTTTAGCTCGACTATTCGATAAGAATAAGTAGAGTTATTGTAGTCACCCGAGCGTCGGTGTCGGCGTCGGCGTAACCACTTATGTTAAAGTTTTTGTAATAGTTCAAATATTTTCAAAGTCCATTGACATATGGCTTTGAAATTTTGCACACCTCTTCACCATCATGACACCAACCTGTATACAGCAGGAGGTAACTCTATCAAGCATTTTTACAGAGTAATGCCCCTTTTTTCGACTAAGAATTTAAATTAACTTTTGTAATAACTCAAATATTTTTATAGTCCATTTACATTATTGCTTTAAAACTTTGCACACCTGTTCACCGTCATAACCCCAACCTGTAAACAGGAGCAGGTAACTCTATAAAGCATTTTGACAGAATTATGCCCGTTTTTAGCTCACCTGTCACAAAGTGACAGTATGAGCTTTTGTGATCGCTTTTCGTCCGGCGTCCGTCCGTCGTCCGTTCGTCCGCCGTCCGTCCGTAAACTTTTACTTTAAATGACATTTCCTCATAAACCACTAGGCCAATTTCAACCAAACTTCACAGGAATGTTCCTTTGGTGGTCACCTTTAAAAATTGTTCAAAGAATTTAATTCCATGCAGAACTCTGGTTGCCATGGCAACCGAAAGTAAAAACTTTAAATATCTTCTGTTAAAGAATCCTAAGAGCTAGAGCTTAGATATTTGGCATGAAACATCTTCTAGTGAATGTCTACCAAGTTTGTTCAAATAAAAGCCCTGGGGTCAAAATTGGCCCCGCCCCAGAGGGTCATTGATTTTCCCTATATGCATATAGTAAAAACTTAAAAAATCTTCTTTTAAAGAACTCAAAGCGCTAGAGCTAAGATATTCAGCATCAAACATGTTCTAATAGGTGTCTACCAAGTTTGTTCAAATAAAAGCCCTGGGGTTAAAATTGGCCCCGCCCGGGGGTCATTGATTTTCCTTATATGTGTATAGCAAAAACTTAAAAAATCATCTTTAAAAAAAGCCAAATAGCTAGAGTTTAGATATGAAGCATGAATCATCTTCTAGTGAGTGTCTACAAAGTTTGTTCAAATAAAAGACCTTGGGTCAAAATTTGCCCCGCCCCAGGGGTCATTGATTTTCCTTTTATGTGTATAACAAAAACTTAAAATATCTTCTTTGAAAAAACTCAAATAGGCAGAGTTTAGATAGTAAGCACGAATCATCTTCTAGTGAGTGTCTACAAAGTTTGTTCAAAAAAAGCCCTGGGGTCAAAATTGGCCCCGCCCCAGGGGACACTGATTTTCCTTATATATGTATAGCAAAAACTTAAAAATCTTCTTTGAAAAAAAAAACAAATAGCTAGAGTTTAGATATTAAGCATGAAACATCTTCTAGTAAGTGTCTACAAAGTTTGTTCAAATAAAAGCCCTGGGATCAAAATTGGCCCCACCCAGGTGGTCATTGATTTTCCTTATATGTGTATAACAAAAACTTAAAAATATTCTTCGAAAAATCCGAATAGCTAGTTTAGATATTAAGCATGAAAAATTTTCTAGTAAGTGTCTACAAAGATTGTTCAAATACCAAACTGGCCCTGCCCCAGATTTGTCATTGTTTTTAACTATATGTGTAAAGAAAAAACTTGACCAGCTAGACCTTAGATGTTTAGCATGAAACATCTTCTAATGGGTGTCTAAGTTTGTTCAAATAAAAGCCCTGATGTTTAAACTGGCCCCACTACGGGGGCCTATATACATGTGAGCGACTTCAGGGCCATCATGGCCCTCTTGTTACATTCAGGTGAACAATTTCAGGGCCATCAAGGCCCTCTAGTTTCATATTAAAGACCCATTTTTTACTTTGAAATTCATGGTTAAACTTTTGCATGTATAAAAACGAATATTACTGTTTACGGCGTGATTAATATATAAATAAAGCCTTAGGTCTTTATTTGTTGTGTTAGTAATAAACAGTACTTGGCGGGGGATGTAAAATTCAACGAATTTGCTTGTTGTTTTTTTTTTGCCGTGATAAGAATACATTGTATGACATGTTGTAAATCTACAAAATTACAATTTTATAAAATGCCCTTTTTACAAAAATGAAAAATCTATTCATTTCTGAGTTGTAATGTGCCTTTAAATGTATATATAGGGTAAATACATCTATTTAGTATGTAAGTTAACATAATTATGATAACATGAAAATCATGTTATGACTATATGAATGTTTATGTGTATTTTATGCTTACATATGTTACATGTATGTCTTATGAACACTTGCATCAAACATGTTTGTTTGTTACTTAGAATATATATTACATCTATCAAGTACAGTCATTTTGTAAACCTTTATTCACATGTTCATGATGACAGAACTTTATTGTCCATATTTATACTTAAACAAATCTATATTAAGTAAGGATAAGTTAATGCTACAATATGTTATGTCAATTGTTCATATATATTTAACATGAATGTTATACATTGAACAGTATCTAGTAGACATTATTCTGCTATCATCAATAAAAGCTTGTATGACAGCATTTATTAATTTTAAGGTATTAGGACCCTAATGGGCACTATCAGGAACTAAAGCATTGACATCATAGGTCAGATGTATACCTTAAAGTACACCTGTATGCAAAATTTAAACAAAGATTACCGTACGGAAATCAAGTTATGGCCACTTTTCTGAACTCAAGCTAGGATGTTATGAGGGCCCTTTTTTAGAAATGAGGAACCTTTAAATAATCTTCAATAACATTCTAATGAAAAATGTTTTCCCATGAATTTTTGGTAATAAACAAATAGTACCATTCAGCTAACAATCCACATAAGCAAAATTATGGTTTCTACTTAAAATTTATGAAATCTGTATAAAAATGTTACCCTACCCCACCCATTTTTACCACATATCTGACCATTTTTCTACTTAGGGAGCCTAATTAAAAAATTCTTAAAATTTACCCAAATGAGTGCCTGTTTTAAAAGTTTCCCTAAATTTTTAAAAAAGTATATTGGTTGCTCTTGTAAAATATGAAATACTTTTACCGTCTAGTTTTGATTATATTACACTTTGAAAATATCAGGTACCATATTTATTACTAGATTTAGCATAATTTAGCCAATAAATACCTATAAAAGATTAAAAATTCAAAATTAAACACTTTTTTCTTTCCATATGGGACATGAGAGATACATAAATAATGTTAAAAGAAAAAAAGAAAGAAAAAAAAAAGTTGACTCTTCTGTGGATTGAACTCATGGCCCTCATTTTCAATGTAGTTAACAGTTTTTCTAGCCTATTTGAATACTCTTCAAAGCGGAGGTAATGCATTAGGGTGCTAATACCTTAAAACTTGCACAATTGTTTTCACTTTATTTTGAACTTTACTTGTTTATCTTAAATGAGTCGCTTTTAGAGAAGAATTAGAAGTTAATAAACTACTTAAGATTCAGACATTGGTTGACTAACATTTTGTCTAATAAATAGGTTAAAAGTTAAAATCATCAGAATTGATACAATTCTATTCACTTTGAATGGACATTTGTTTGTTTTTTGAAATGAGTTTATTTTAATAAAAAAATGGAAGTTAATAAGTTACTTTAGATTTCTATCATTGGTTGACAAATAAACAAGTAACAAGTCTTTAATACTATATATTGTTTATGGTTAAACAGATTAAATTTTATCAGAACGGAAACAATAGATCTATCTTTTTTGATGTATCAAATAATGGTGACATGAATTCCAGAATAGAGAAATGTTAACAAAATGTTGACAATGTATAACATTGAGACACTGTCATAGAACCTTTATGAGAGCATTGTTATTCTGCTGGTTTTGTTATTATTTAAATACTTTAAGAAATTAAAATATATTTGTCTGATAGGTTAGAATATATGTGTGACTATCATAATAAAGAATTGTACATAATTGATGAGTGTATTATTTGTTGTCCCCTCTCTTACAGAACTAGTCGAAGGTATAAAACTTGTTAAAAATTTACTTCCCACTATTTTTAGCTCACCTGTCACAAAGTGACATGGTGAGCTTTTGTGATTGTTTGGCGTCAGTCTGTTAACTTTCACTTTAAACAACATCTCCTCATAAACCGCTAAGCCAATTGCT